AAATTTATAAATATATAAAGATTGCAAATATAATTAATTAAATAAATATTTATAAACATAAAAACTAAAATTCGTAAATGTAATGTATAGAAATCACCGTTCTATGCTTTTCTATCTAAAAAAGTCTTACATTAAAAACCTTTACTTTAGCATAATAAATTTTAAATTTAATATTTAAATGCATACCAATAATTATATTACTAACTATATTGAGAAAAAAATGGTAGTTTATAATATTTCTTGCACTCTTATTAAATTTATTTTATCTAATGCATGTTCAAGCGGCCAAATTACGAGCAACAACAGAAGGATAATTGGATAAAAATAAAAACACTTTCTTAAATAAACAATACACATGGGTAACAGTCAGTTCTATTATAATTCTCGTATAGTTCTGAACGTGTTCTAACGTTTTCTAAAGAGTTCTGACAATAAGCATTATTTATTTATATTTTAAATCATTTTTATCTCCCAAGAAAGACGCATTTACGGGTATATAGGTGAGACGCTGCGTAGAAAATCTCGGAGTTCTGGTTTATATAAAATATTTTTCGTACAGTTCTAAACATACTAAAACAATTTCTAAAGAGTTCCGGGCATTGGCAATGTTGTATAATTTTTAAATAAATTAATAACGCACGAAAGTCATCAGGAATTTATCGAGAATAGGGTCTTTCTCGAGCGATAAAAATTATTTAAAAAATGAATAAATAATGCTTATTGCCAGAATAAAATGGGACAACGTTAGAACACGTTCAGAACTACACGAGAATTATAACAGAACTCACAGAACTGTCGAAATACGGCCAGCGTTTCAGCTTATTTTTGATAAATTCCTGATTTTCGAGCGGTATTAATTTATTTAAAAATTATACAACGTAGCTAGTGTTTGCTAAAGTTAATATATGTATATATCAACGTTGTATATATCAACGTAGCTAGTGGCGGAAACTCTTTAGAAAATGCTTTAGTATGCTCAGAACTATACGAAAAATATTTTATATAAGCCAAAACTCCGAGATTTCGCACAGCGTCTCATCTTTTTCTGTCATGATTATTTTTCGGTTAATATTAATTTTTTTTAATATAACACAAAGATTCTAACGCCCGGAACTTTTTAGAAAATGTTTTAATATGCTCAAAACTACTCGAAAAATATTTTACATAAACCGGAACTCCGAGATTTCAACTGGCGTTTCAACTCGGTATACTCGTTGCATTGTAATTTTTTTGTTAGTACCTTATAATTAATTTTTTTTCTTTTATATGGCAGAACTCTTTATAGAACTGTTATAGAACTATAAATCTTGCAAAATCTGATGAGATACAGTGGTGGAACTTGTGTAGGACAAAGTGAGACGCTGCGTGAACCTATAATAGCGTCTCAGTTTGTACTGACGCGTTTTTATGGCTTTAATGGCCAGAACTATTTGTTTAAACTATCAAGAACTCTAGAACTATTGAAAAGAAAGCCAGAACTCTCAATAATTTGTGAGTTTCTGCAAAATGAGACGATAGCTTCACACACACGTCAGGTAGAGAATGTAAATAATTATTAACAGAGATATTCTAATTTAAAAGATCTTTAAAATATATATTTTTCATGAATGTTTTATAGGGAAACGAAGAAAGTGAATAACGTTAAACTTTGCATGTTTTCTTCACTTTAGTTAAAAAATTTATTTTTATTTTTTAAGTAACAAAAATGCTCTTTTTTCTGTTATATCCTGGTCACTATAAATGACAGACGATGTAAATAATTCTAGCTGTTTTAGGTATCTGAAACGCAAAAAGCTAAAATGTTCTTATTCTGCAAGAGAAGTGTGGCTATCGTCTGAACTAGAACTAAATCAATATTTCCATTCTGAGCGGCTTTTTTATTAAAAATATAACTTTTTTAAAAATTTTATTAGTATTTTTTATTAAAAGAAAATGTTTATTCTAGTTCAGACGATAGCCATATCACTTATTTTGAATAAGAAAATTTTTGGTTTTTACGTTTCTGATACCTAAAACAGCTAGAATCATTTACTTCGTTTCTCATACTTACGTCTTTTAGTGATCAAGATATAACATAAAAGTAACAAAAAAGAAGAATATTTTTCTTACTTAAAAAATAAAAATAGATTTTTAAAGTAAGATTAAAAGAACATGCAAAATTTAACGTTATTCGCTTTCTTCGTTCCCCTATAAAAAATTCCTAAAAAATACCTATTTTTAAGGACCTTCTCCGGCTCCAGTCATACTCAACTTATATTCATGCTTAAAAAGAACAATTTATTTTACTAAAGTTAATTTACTAAATATTACATATAACAACTAAAAAATAAGAAGTTAACTTCAAATCGCGTACTTTACAAGTATTTCTCGAAAACGAGTACCGCAAAGGTATTGAAACTTATCGCATATTATTAATTTCTATTTTTATATAAAGCATCATATACTAGTCTTTCAAAAACATTTAAAAAAAACTTTTTTCACAATTTATTAAAATGTCTGTTTCACAATACCTCGGAATAGGAATTCCGCGTTAAAAGTTAAAACTTTGAAGCTCAGTAGCTCAGAAGCTCGATTTTTAATACCGTAAAAAGTACTAAAATTTATACTACACATAAAGCACACCTATAAATTAATGTATATTCACAGTTTCAAGAAAATCTAGAGAAAATCGATTTTCCGGAGAACATCCTTAAGATCTTTCAAACCAGAATACGCTCTGGTAATTTATTATTTGTCATTAACATGTTTTATTATTAACCACATACATATAAGTGTGAGAAAGCATATGGTACAAAATAATTTCAATATTCAAATTATTGTAATAATAAAAAAATCAATTATTTACATTTTCTTCTGTGTGTGTATGTGTGATGTTATTGACAATATAGTTTCTTTGCACGTTTACATTTCTTTTGCAGATTTTTTACACGCTTAATTTTCACGAGTGTAATGTCAAATACAGACAAGATTTTTGTTTATCTGTTATAAGCGTTATTTTGAATGCAAGATTTTAATAATCAAACGTTTTTAATATATTTAATATATTTAATAACATCACACATACACACGCAGAAGAAAATGTAGATAATTGATTTCTTTATTATTATTACAATAATTTGAATATTGAAATTATTTTATACCATATGCTTTCTAATACTTATATGTATATAATTAATAACAATATATTAATAACAAATAATAAATTAGGGGCGTATTCTGGTTTGAAAGGTCTTAAAAATAAGTATTTTTCATACATAGGAATTTTTTATAGGGAAACAAAGAAAGCGAATAACGTTAAACTTTGCATGTTTTTTAACCTTATTTTAAGAATATATTTTTATTTTTTAAGTAAGAAAAATGCTCTTCTTTTCTATGTTATATCCTGATTACTAGAAGGTGTAAATGACAGACAAAGTAAATGATTCTAGCTGTTCTATAGGTATCAGAAACCCAAAAACCAAAAATTTTCTTATTCAGAATAAGTGTGGCTATTGTCTGAACTAGAATAAACATATATTATACGTTTATTAGTTTTTTTCTTTTAATAAAATATTAACAAAATTTTGAAAAAAGTTATAATATTTTTAATAATATAAGAGAAATAAGACCGTTTTATGACCGTTATACAATCAATCAATATTAAATAAGCCGTGTACGATCCGAGTTTGGATCTTAATAGCCTAATAATATTTTTTGTGTATTACACGTATATTTTTTTCAATCTAATAAATTGCGCGCCGACTAACTTGTCAGACTTACAACACAGCTCCTGTTGGAGTAGTAAAAATTTTTTACTATTATTTAAATCGATTTAATTAGAGGGATGTGAGGGGATTTTATTAATCCAATAGGAGCTGTGTTGTAAGTCTGACAAGTTAGTCGGCGCGTAGTTGATTAAAGTTGGAAAAATATGTAAATATATAGTATATAAAAAATATTGGGCTACTATAAAATCTAAGCTCAGATCGTAAATGGTTTATTTAATATTGATTAATAATATTTTTGATAAAAAGGCCGCCTAGAGAGAGAACCTAGAATGAAAATATTGGTTTAGTTCTAGTTCAGACGATAGCCACATATACTTCTTCTGATTAAGAAAATTTTAGCTTTTTGCGTTTCAGATACCTACACGGAGAAAAAAATCTTACCTCTGTGGTATGAGCGCCTTCCATGCATAAAAAGCATGTAGCGCTGCCTTGCATCAAACGCATGAATTTGTCCGTTTAAAGTACTTTAAAGCATGAAGTAGGATATTATCCTTGCCTTAAACGGACAAATTTATGCGTTTGATGCAAGGAAGCGCTACATGCTTTTTATGCATGGGAGGCGCTCATACCACAGAAGTAAGATTTTTCTCTCCGTGTAGAACAGCTAGAATTATTTACACCGTCTGTCATTTATGGTAACCAGGATATAACAAAAAAGAAGAGCATTTTTGTTACTTAAAAAATAAAAATAAATTTTTAAAATAAAGTGAAGAAAACATGCAAAGTTTAACGTTATTCACTTTCTTTGTTTCCCTATAAAAAAAGTTCCTGAAAAATATATATTTTAAAGATCTTTTAAATCAGAATACCTCCGTTAATAAATAATTCTTTACATTCTTTTCCTGACGGAAGAGATTTTACCACTTCTCAATATAAATATAAATTTATCTCTTGTTATGGTTTTATTCGATTATTCCGGCGTTTTCATATTTGTAATTTAATTAGATTATTGTTTACTTTGTTTATATTATATTAGGTGATTGTTTAATGTTTTAGTCTAGACTAATATTTAATGTTTTAGTATGTAAACTTGAACATTAATTATCATGTTTTTTTATATTTATCTTCTTCTATCGTAGTAATCTGTTCCGAAGAAGACTAAGTACAGTCGAAACGTTAACCATGTGTATTGTTTATTTAAGAAATTGTTTTTATTTTAATCCAATATCTCTCTGTTGTTGCTCGTGGCCGCTTATAAACATTAATAGCTAATATAAATTTAATAAGAGTAAAAAAAACATTATAAATTACTTTTTTTTCGATATAGTTAATATGTAATTATTGTTATGCATTTAAATATTAAATTTAAATACTATTATGCTAAAGTAAAGGTTTTTAAAGTAAGACTTTTTTTTATATAAGAGCATATTGGCCAGAACGGGGATTTCTATACATTACATTTACGAATTTTAGTTTTTATGTTTATAAATATTTTTTTAATTAATTATATTTGCAATCTTTATATTTATAAATTTCAAATATATATATATATATATATATATATATATATATATTTGCAATCTTTATATTTATAAATTTCAAATATATATATATATATATATAT